TTTCTCAGACCCTCAAGGGGTGTGTGTAATTTGAGTTTTCTGTGTCTCCCTTACAGAAAAGGAAAGATACACTTTAGGACACTTTTCTATCCTGCAGGAAAAAGTGTAATCGTCACTCTTTTATGTTAAGGGGCTGTTTAGTTCCACATGTTTTCCTTCCAGTTCTCTTCTTCTCTCCTGTTTCTGACAGCACTGAGTGCTTGCTGTCTTTTCTTCTCCACCTTGAAACTGGCTATCCATCCTCACCTTCTGCCAGTGTGCCAATAAAGTGCCCAGAGCTCCCCTGGGAGCCATTCCCATGTGGTGTTGCCCGCAACGTTGTTAGGGTGTGCTTTCGGGGCTCCTTTTCTCCAGGTCACACTTGATTCCAGTTGCTCTTGCTCATGTGGAGTTGACCTCATTTCTGGAAGCTTGCTTAGAAACACGGAGAGAGGAGGGGGATGCCTTGTTCCTTAGCTGGTGGCTCCCAGTGGTGCAAGTGCAGAACATGATGCAGGGCCAGGACCCTCTCTGGCGTGGACCCCCTCTTCATGCCCCTGCTTCTTGTTTCTGTAGGTTGCTGCACTCTGCTCCAGAGGCGGTGGCTTTGAGGCGTGACCCTGCCCACCCTCCGCCTCGCCAGCACCAGCTCCTCAGCAAGGAGGGCCCGCTTGAGAAGACAAAGAAGACAGGTCAGTCTAACTTGATTGACTTTCCTTGAGTCACAGTAACTTGGAGTGTTGTCTTCCTTCACGACCCCACGTCCCCTTGGAGTGGTCCACCCTCTGCTTGGGGTCCTCCTGAGGCTTTGATGGAAAACCACAGAGAAACTCTCACTGTGGACTGCGGGTTTTCCCCGGGCTAGTGGCCTGGGGCGTGGGATGAGAAGTCTTGGGAAGGGTGCTGGGACCCTGGCTCATGGGAGCCACGCTGCAGGCACCCCTGTTCCCTGCTTCTCCTTTGCCACCCCCAGATTTGGACTCTGCGGTCAAAGCTAGAACGCCAGTCCAGTCCACTTGGCCATGTCATAGAGATTTCCTTTCATGTCTGTGACTTGGGAATCTCATCTGGGTTTCCAGTCCTCTCTGGTCCCAGATAAAGGAGATGATACTGGAATGGGGCCAGTGGTTTTTATTTTTTTTATTATGGCTATTATTATTATTTTTATTTGCAGTAATAGAGCAGATGTATAGATTGGTGTCAGGAGCAGAGAATGAAAATATTAGGACTGTAAATATTTATAAAGAAAAATGTGCTTTGTAAATGGACCTTAAACTGTTAATCCTGCCTTTCATCCCCTGAGATTGAGAATCAGAAGGTGTAGGTTGGTCAGTTGGGTCATTGCTCTAGTGTGGTCCAGGGTCAGGTGTGGGCAGGGAGGACTGAGTAGTTTTGGCTGCTGGCTTCTGGTTTAATGAGTGGTAAATGCACCTTAATATTAAGGTGGATTTGTTTTTTCTAGCTGGGAACAATGAGCTACATTGTTTTACACCAGGTCCCTTCCATTCTTCCTGTTCCATCCTCCCCAAAGGAGAAGTCACACTTAAGACACAAGCGCACACCTGGAGGAAAATCTTAGAAAAGATTTTCTATGCAGGCTGGCTTGGGTGCTTCTGAAAGAGCTGCCAAGGATGAGTTCACTGACCATTTTCTATTCAAACAGTGTAACTTGGAGTTTCATTTTGTTAATTGCACTTTCCGATCAGAGATGAGAAGAGTCTCTACTTTAAAAAAAAATATTACCATTTACTTACACTTGAACTAGGAAAAGGAAGTAAATGTCGGTGATCTCAGCGTCATCACTGGGCAGTGTCACACTTCACACTCTATCCCAAAGGAGGAAATAAATTTAGCAAATGTCTTCCTGTCCAGACAAAGTGGGAAACAGCAAATTTGCCTGACTTTTCTCATTTTCCAGTTGGGATGTAAGCGTTTGCAACTTTCAGTCCGTAGGTTGGTGAGCAGTTGTAACTGTTGCTGGGTTTTCTATACTTAGGGCATTTACGTAGTTTTCAGGGAAGGTTTCTTTGACATCTTAGTGATTGTGACAGAAATTCTTACCAGCACTTTAACTCTTCTTGGTGAATATATTTTCATTAATTTTCTTGTTGACTGTTTCCCTTCTGTCCCGTTTTTTTTCCCTACTCAGTGAAAGATTTAGACCATGTTGTTTGTAACTTCTAATTTTATGTTATCTAAAAGGTGCTTGCTTAAATCTATTCCTGGTCTGAAAAACTGTACATTTTTCTTCTCTAAGTGCCATAATAGGACAAAAGCAAGATCTATCTTGAAACTATCCCACTATAAATGGTAGAAAGGTTGAGATAATTTTTACTGACATAATATAATTACAGTAAAGATTTCTAGTCATTTATGATGTGATGTATATTAAAACTATGGTGGGGGCCGGGGGGACTTCCCTGGTGGTCCAGTGGCTGAGACTTCGCACTTACAATGCGAGGAACCTGAGTTTGATCCCGGGTCCGGGAATTAAATCCCACGTGCTGCAGCTCAGCACAGCCAAATAAATAAGTATTTTAAAAAACAAAGCTCTGGGTGATATATATTTAAAAGAACGAGAGGGTTTTGGTATAGAAGGTGCACCTTACATGATTCAAGGAAATAATTGTACACTGACTAGATTACAATTCTAGGGAACTGATGATACTTTCGTTAGAAATCCTTTAAGAAAGAAAATGAGGTATGTGCGTGTATACTTCCATGTGAGTACATGTGTTGAATGTTTTTTCCTAGAGAGGAATTTCCCAAGTGAACTTTCAAAGACAGTCAGAATGGGAAGTTTTCAAGCACAGTTTTGAATAAGTTTAAATGGTCTTCCATATGGGAGAAGCGTCATGTAAAGACAACATCTTTGGGGTTGAGGGGCTTGTTTTGTTTTTTTGTTTGTTTTAATTTTGAACTGAGGTTTCCTTTCCCTCTTTTAATGTGGAAGATATAAGGGTGAGGCTGGATCAGTGGTCTTAACAGTTGTGTTTTTGGCAGTTAGTCCTTTTACTTAGCATTTGGAAAACCATTAGGTTCATATCTTCAAGATGTCTGGGGCTTCCCAGGTGGCGCTGGTGGTAAAGAACCCACCTGCCAATGCAGGAGACACAAGAGGTGTGGGTTCCATTCCTGGGTCAGGAAGATCCCCTGGAGGAGGGCACAACAGCCCACTCCAGTATTCTTGCCTGGAGGATCCCATGGACAGAGGAGCCTAGGGCGCCATAGTCCACTGGGTCGGAAAGAGTCGGACACGACTGAAGCAACTTAGCACGTACACACGCATGCTCTTCAAAGTGTCTACTAACAAGGAAGGCAGATTTTGTCTCTTGACAAGGAGCATGCTGTTGCTGAGGCTCTCTTTGGCTCTTGGGTAAGGTTTTCGCTTGGGGCTTCTCAGCTGATGGTCCATCAGTCGTGTGAAGCCATCAGATGGCGTCGCCAGTCGTGTCCCCAGACTCTCCTGCTCTGCTGCCGGACACGTTTGCGGCTGCTCCAGGAGCTCCCATTTGTCACATCCTACCTGGGCCACTTCTCATAGAGGCGGAAGGGGAACCACAGGAAATCATGCTCTCTCCAGGGCTGCTCCTGAGATAATGAGCTTGATCCCTGAGGCGGCTGTGGACTTGCGGGATGTAATGCACGCTGGAGGATAGCAGGGTGCGTGGGCAGAGAGAGCCCTCCCAGATGAAAGAGGGAAACGGGTTACCTGGAGACTTAACGTCCTATAGCCAGTAATACTTGTGTGAGAGAAGCATGGCTAGAAGAGGCCTGGAGAGGTGAAGCTGGGTGCGTCCGGGGGCTGTAGTGTTCCCTGCAGTCATCCTGCCGTATTACCAGGTTTTTTTAAGGTCTGACCTGTTCCCTCCTAGACACTGAGTCTTTAACGGATTCCTTCACTGCCTTATCTTTGGTTAGTTTTAGGAGGAGGCGGGACACGGGTCAAGTGGGAGTCTGAGACTCCTTGAGTCTGAGACAAGGGTAGAGTGTGAAATAAAGTTCGCTGTTTGTGGACAAATGTGAGCTTAGAAAATAAAATACCACAGAATCGTTTTGGCTGTTGGGAGAGAGGGCGACGACGCTGTAAGGAACATCAGTTAAGGGTGAAAAACAACCGCAGAATGTGGTTTTGGAAGAAAAAGAAGACTCAGCCATCTCCTCCTGTACGGTCCCCTGGAGTCCGGTGAGTGCAGTAGTCTGAGATTACAGCACACATGGTTTCTGTTTTTCCTTCTGAGCCTTTCTGCCTTTGCTTCCCTTCCAGTGTCAACGAGGGACACGGAGAGAAGAGAAAAAGGAGCCCCCCAGCCTCGCTGCCTCCTCCGCGTGCGCGACCCCTGCAGCAGATGACGTGCTCATAGTGCATCAGCTGGGGCAGATGATGGAGGTAGTTGGCAGTGCGGGCTGGGTTTTCTTCCTTCCATTTTCTGGGGGGAGGTATATTACATCCTCATATGTTTTAAGCAGCAGCCATTTATGCTGATTGAAATTTGGTTGTAACGTTGGGTGGTAGTGTGGCTTCTCAGTTGTCTTATACAATTTGGACTCCCCCATTAAAATCAGGTATCGCAGCCTGGGGTTAGGTGAAAGCCAAGGTTTCTCATCTTCCGTTGTAGGGTCTAGAACGTGCACATAGTAGTGAGTAGGCTGTTAAGAGGCCGCCGGCCAGATGGGCCCTCCCGGCCTTCCTCGCTGTTGGAGCCTCTCCCACTCTGCCTGGGGAAAGGTTAGCAGAGGAAGAGGGCCTGCTTGGGGTCACCCTGTCAGTGGCCCATGCTCAGAAAGGAAGTGAGGCAAGCAGTTTAGTGAGACAGCGCTTGGCTGAGATGAAAGCTTCGGTCATGTGGGCACGTGCGTCAGCTAGAACTGAAGGGGAGTTCTAACCTAGCTGCAGTGGGGGTAGCCATGGCCCCTGCCGCCTGCCTGACAGACACCTCAGCTGCCCGGTGATCACATCAGCAGTTTCTCACTTTCAGTTCTGTGGCCGAGGCTTTCTAGAAGCTTAAACCCTTGTCCCAATGACGTCAAGCTCGCCCATTGGCCTGGAGGGTTCAGACTTGTCTTCCATCAACACCATGATGTCAGCAGTCATGAGTGTGGGGAAGGTCGCCGAGAATGGTGGGAGCCCCCAGAGCATCAAGCCCCCCACAAAGCCTCCAGGACCAAATCGGATCGGCCGAAGGAACCAGGTAAGCGTCTGTGTGCCTGCGGTGGCTTCCATGAGAGCACTGGGGGCGGGACGTGCCCTTGCACCCCAGCTCCCTGAGCCAGAACCATGGGCCTGTCTGAACAGCACAGGCGCACCCAGAGGCGGTGATCCCTTTTCAGGTGCTCACTGCTTGCAGCTTAGGCTGGTTTCCATTCGCAGAGAAGGTTTTCTGTGCTGAGGTCTCAGTGTTGGTGAGAGCACCCCTACCTGCCCACCCCCCGCCCCTGCATGCTGTGGCCTTGTGACTTGATTTGAGCCCAAGCTTTCTTGACTTAGATGGTAAAGAATCTGCCTGCAATGCAGGACACCCGGGTTTGATCCCTGGGTCGGGAAGATCCCCTGGAGAAGGGAATAGCAACCCACTCCAGTATTGTTGCCTGGGAAATCCCACAGACAGAGGAACTTAGTGAGCTACAGTCCATAGTTGGACACGACTGAGCCACACAGACACGCTTTCTTCATGGTACGGGCGGAGCAGAGAGCTCAGCTTTCTCCTCTCCTGTGACACGGTTCCTTCTTCACTCACAGCTGGTTAATTGGTTTTACGATGCCGCCTCCTTGAGTTTTTAAGCGTCTGCAGCACAGGTAGCCAGTGAGTCCTCACTCTGCTGGACTGCTCCCCAGCTCCCCAGCCTTGACAAGGCACGAAACTGGGTGCCTGAGGATCCCCTCGGGACGCCTTGTGTTTCTCGAGGGTTTTCAGAGATCAGGGTGGTGCACAGGGGCATAGGACGCCAGGGATGTTATGAAAGGCCGTGTCTCCTCCGCTGGGAAATAAGATGAGTCTTAATGTCCACACGGCGCGCTTGAGCAGGTTTCGCTGTCCTGCAGCAGCGTCCCCGACGGCGCCGGAGCAGCGAGGTGGCCGGCCCCTCTCTGCTCTACGTCCACATGGTGTCAACGTTCAGTGTGTGGCTCCCCTGACTCGGTGGGGTCCCATCCCACCCGTGGGAGAAGGCAGCCTTCTGACTTTGTCTGGAGACCGGAGATGGGCAGGAAGGTAAACCTGTTGGACTTCTGTGAGTTAGTTTTCTTTTCTATTAATGGTCCAAAGTGGCTGACCTTATGCAGGATTGCCTGTGCACAGTTCTCCCAGCCCAGCGCGATGGGTTCCTGTGGATTTGTAGAAGTCCAGCACGAGCTAGGGCCCTGATGCAAGGCGCCCTCCAGAAAAAGTGTCCCAGCCTTACATCCCTCCAGCAACCGAGGAGGGTCCGTTTCTCCGCCTCTTCCTCAAGGCTGAAGACTCGGGGTTCAATGATGCTGTCGGGTGGGGCACTGATACTTTTTCTCTCTGTTTTCCTTTTGTCCGTGTGCTTCTCTTCCTGTGGGCACCTGAGAAAATTCTCAGCCTGTGTGACTGTGGCCTGAGCCAAGAAGGAGCACTGGCTCTGGGAAGAAAAGGTTTATTTCCACTCTTCACGTGACTGTCTGTCCATCCATCTGTCCATCTGTCCATCATCCCCCCATTTCACAGCGTCCCCCACCGTCCTTCCAGCCAGGCACTGTGTGCCAGGTGCCGTGCTCCCTCCGAGAGAGCCCAGCACGGCCCAGCAGAGGCAGAGCTGGCCCCAGGCCAGGCTCGGGTCCCATCCCGGGGACCATCCCGGCAGAGCCGTGGAGGGACCCATGGCCTTCCGTCTGCACGTGGGACGTGAAGGGGCATCCACAAGGCTGCCTGGGCCATTGGTCACCCGCCTCCTGTGTCCCCGGGGGTTCCTCAGGGCACCGGCTTAGGCTTTTGAAAGGAGGTCTGGATGGGGAGGATAGCGCGTTAGAAAATCCCGGCGTCGTCCCTACCAGGACGGACGGGAGGGCTGGAGGGCGCTCTGAGGAGCAGAGTTCCAGGGCAGATTAGCCACTGCCGGAAGCCAGCAAGGGTGCCAGATTGTTTCATTATGGAATGGTTAGTTATCACATTAGCTGCTAATTTTATCTGTCAGCTCAGGAAGCAAGCTCCCTCTACCAGCACAGCCGCGGTCACTGGATTTGGGCCTTCCGCTTCTGTTTGCTTTGTTTTCAAAATTGAGTCTGAGTTTGGAGACTCCTGCTCCCAGACCATCATGGATGTCACGATTCCGTGCTGAGGTCTGCAGTGTACCGCTGCCTGCCTCCAAGAGGGGTCGGGCTACAGTTCACAGTAGACCCCAGAGTCTCTCCCTTTAGTCCCAGGGGCCACTCAGCGCCTCTGGTGTCTGCCTTGAGGGGCTCACAGGGTGAATTTTTTTTTCTTGTTAAGGAATTTTCATCCTCAGGAGGCTGGCTTCCTGGAGGCCTGGCTTTTTACATTTATATCCGTCGTCCTCCAATGAATCTCTTTTAAAAAAAATTCTTTTTGACCTGCAGGGGGCACGGGTCCAACCCCTGGTGAGGGAAGTTCTGCATACCATGCAGGGCAACCAAAAAAAAAAAAAAAAAACCACACTTAAAAATACATGTATTTGTTTATTTGGCCGTACTGGATCTTAGTGGTGGCACGAGAGACCTTTTATCTTTGTTGTAGTACGTGGGATCTAGTTCCCGGACCAAGGATGGCACCCAGGCCCCTGTGCTGGGAGTGTGGAGTCAGACCACCAGGGAAGCCCCCAGAACTGCTTTTTAACACACATTATCGCTAATCTAATGATTTAATAAAAAACACCCCAGAGGCCAAGTCTGGGCCCGCCCTGAGGCATCCCTCAGTGACAGGCAAGTGCCCTTGCTGTGTTGTTCGGCTTTCTGTCTGGAGAACACACCTTCTGCCTCTGGAGCGGGGTGGAGGCGGATGATGGCTGAGTGAGGCTGCAGGGTTGGGTTTGTTTGTGTGTTTGTTTTTTAACTATCTCTGGGTTAATATACTTCCTTAAAATTCATATCTGTGGTTTTTTTTTTTAATATGAGAGTGAAAAAATGTGTAGCATACTTATTTCTCAGACCCAAGGAGAGAAGGTGTGTGTCACTTAACGTGGGGCTTGTTCACCTCTGAGGAGTGAGGGGGCCTCCCGTAGGAGCCAAGGACTAGATAGATCCCTTTGTGCGTTCACTCCACCCCGCACGGTGCCCGGTGCCATTTGTCTCTATGGTTTTCAGGGTGGCTTTTATTTTATTTTCATCATCTCTCATGAGCCAGCCACAAGGGTGTTTGCTCTATGTGCCTTGGGGTCGATCCTTTCTGGGTCAGACTTGTGTAGCCTAGTGGTTAGGGCATGGGCTGTGAGCAGCTGGCCTGAGTGTTAATCCTGGCTCTGGTTTGGGGTGGGTTACTTGCCTCTCTGTACCCCAGTTTCCTCACCCCTAAAATGGGATCTGTAACTGGCCATCTCTAATGGTTGTGTGAAAAAAAAACACCATTTCACGTGTGCAGAGTCTAGCACATAGTAACTGTTTAATACTTGGGATTATTCACAGGGAACAGAGAGTCAGTCGAATGAACAACTAAAAAGAGGGTGGTTGAAAATGCTTGAGGGTCCAGCCCCACAGCTAGCTCCCTCCCTTCCTCACGCTTAGTCACCATTTATGAGCAGTGGTGGGCAGGTGCTCCAGTCAGTAAGGGATCCCACTGATGGCCCCTGGGCACCCAGGGGGGCACTGGGGCCTTGCACCCTCAGGAGGGTGGGTTTTTGTCGTGAGAACTCTACCCCCTTTCGTGTATCTTAGGGGCTCAAGACCAGGCAGAAACAAGTGGCTGGCGCCTGAGTCAGACCTGGGCAGGAGTACAGCCCTTCTCTGGTGCGGCTGTGACTTGATGCTTAATTTTTCACCATACCCGATGACTCACTAAGTGGTGCCTAACGAGAACACTGCTGTTTATCGGGCACTTAGTCCTGGGCCGAGCACTGTTCTCATGCCTTCTGTGTGCTGTTCGATTTACTCCCTGTCGCAGCGTGATGCTGTGGTTTTCCCCATTTTATAAATGAGGAAACCGAGGCAGACAGGCTCACACCCAGCCAGGCTCCAGAGCCCATGCTCTCAGCTGCTCTGTTGCCGCCGCTTGTGAGACACAGGTGTGTGTAACACACGTGTGTTACACGTGAGAGGCACCAGTTCACTGTGGGTTGAAGTGGATGCTTTTATCCTCTCTTTTCAGGAGACGAAAGAGGAGAAGTCTTCCTACAACTGCCCCCTGTGCGAGAAGGTCTGCACTACCCAGCACCAGTTAACCATGCACATTCGCCAGGTCTGCCACTGCTTTTGTTTCAGATAGCTCTTCGTTAAGAGGGGAGGTGACTTTATCTTAACAGATGAATTGTGCATGTTTAATTTAGATGTAATATTCTAAGAATTTTGAGGAGCGGTTATGAAACAGTTTTCCTGTGTCCATGTTAACTGTCACAGAGTCCCAGGTCACACAGAATACCTTTTCAGAATTTAGCAAACATCTAGTTAACCAATCACAAATAACAGACTTTTCATCATACATGAACCAAATCTCCTCACAGCATGGTGAGATTGTAGATGTAGACCCCGATTCTTTGCGCTGCTGTAAACTTTCATGATACAGCAGGGAATTCCCTTGATTTGGGATCTCTTTTGGCTTTTCTTCTTTATTAGGAGATTTACCCTTCTCCCTTGCCTGCTGTGGATGGTTCATGAGATAGTATTGAATCTAGAAGGACTGACAATAGTCAAATCATAACATGCTGCTGAATAATAGCATCATTTAGTAACTTGGGTTTGGACAGAAATGTTCCTTCTTAACATATTTCAGAGGCCAGAACTCTAAACCAGGCAGGTTGCAGTTCTCTTTCTCTGATAGCTAGACTGAGTCATCAAACTGGAACTCATGTGAGGTCCGTCCTTCATGTTTGCCTCATAGTTGAGTCTTTCTGCCCATGTTAGTTTTTGTGGTCTGTTCATCTATTATATGTGTCTTGAGAAAGACCTGCAGAGACCCCACCTTCGTTTTGAGCCTTGTGGAGGAAGAACTCGTCAATACTGGGACACGGAAAGAGAAGAGCAAACAAAATATTTGTTTGTCTGTGGTCCCGACAGATTTTGACATTTAGGAAGACATTTAAAATGAAACAAAAAATAGCTGAGAAACATTGCTGACTTTTTAATGCATATATATGTGTATGTGTGTTTATATATGCGTGTATGTATAAAGCCCTGAATTTACACCTCCCGGTCACCAAGTTTGGACCTGCCCTCCTCAGTGATGCTGTGATTCTTGCTCTCCGCAGCACAACACGGACACTGGCGGGGCCGACCACTCGTGCAGCATCTGCGGGAAGTCGCTGAGCTCAGCCAGCTCCCTGGACCGCCACATGCTGGTGCACTCCGGGGAGAGGCCCTACAAGTGCACCGTGTGCGGACAGTCTTTCACCACCAACGGCAACATGCACAGGTGGGTGCGGGCGGCTTTCACCTGCTGCCTCGAGGCCAGAGGTTGACCGAAAGCAGAGTGGCCTCCCAGGCGTCTTCTCAAAGGCTGGAGGAGGTCTGTTCCTGTGCGGAAGAGCCAGAGCCGGTTTCGTCTGCCTGCCACGTGCGGTCTCCAATGTGTCAGAGGTGTCTGCTCATGGAGCCAGCAGGACCTGGGGCTTGGTCTCTGGCTGATTGGGGAATCCTCAGGGTGACCCTTGGCCAGTTGGGAGTTTCTTTACTGAGATACCGGAGGTGGGCAGCTTATCAGACGCAGAGAAACCCTAGAGGATTAGCATAGTAACCCGTGCCTTTTTAAAACTATTTGCATATGCCTACAGATTCCCTGCAGGGCAAAACATTTCTGGAGCATCAAATAAATAGTTAAGTGGGCTGGAGAGCTTCAGGATAAGATAGGATAAAATGAAGGGAAAAATCTGATAAATGTCAGGAATTTACTTCCTGAGGGAGAAGGAGGCTGGCTCAGAAGTGGGAGAAAGCTCAGTGGTGGGCATATTAAAAATGTTGTGGGAGGAACCAATGGAAAATATACTTAATAGAAAGAGTACTTAGGATTTAGGGGTCAGAACAAACTTGTCTTTTTTTTTTTACACAAATATTTTAGGAACATTGGAAATCTAGGAAAACATTTTAAAGGGACCCACATTTCACCTTCTCAAAAAATCAGGCTGTTTTATTTTTCCATATTCCATTTTAAGCATTATGTTGATTTCTTTTAAAAAGTTGGCTAACATTTTTTTACATATTTATTTCAAAAGAAAAGTTAACGTAGTTGTGACATTGGTATTTTATCATATATAAATACTCAAATGAGATGATCCCATTTATTCTACCTAAAATTATGATCCACTGATGGTGTACTTGAGACACATTGTTATAGTGGTCAATTTATGGATTTTTGGAATTAGGTCCTGATTTCAAATCTCACCTCTGCCACTTATAAGTTTTCCATCCTTGAGCAAGTTGCATAACCTTTGTACCTGACTTTGCTCCTCTTTAAATTGAGATTTTTGATAGTATTCACTTTGCTGGACTAGGGTGGGCATTAGGAGATAATGAGTTTAGCACATGGTTGGCAGGCAACCAATGTTACTTATTATTGTTATTTGCATTTCTCAGTAATGCTGCAATAATTTGAATCCTATGGATGTCTCAGTCTGAACTCCTCGAAGCAGGGTAGAATATGATGCTGTGAAATGTATCAGTATATTAAAGGATTTTGATGAAGGGTGTTACCTTTAAATATATTATACATATATATATATATAATTTCCTATTCTTTTTGCGCCTCGTCTCCTAGTTATGTTTATTTTATTTTGTTTATTTTAATTTTTTAGCTCCTGGGCTTCCCAAGTGGCTCAGTGGTAAAGAATCTGCCTGCCAGGCAGGAGACACAGGGTCGATCCCTAGGTCAGGAAGATCCCCTAGAGAAGGAAATAGCAATCCACTCCAATATTCTTGCCTGGGAAATCCCATGGACAGAGGAGCCTGGCGGGCTACAGTCAGTCCATGGGGTCACAAAGAAGTCAGACATGACTTAGAGGTTAAACAACAATAATTTTTAGCTTTAGCTTTTTGCTTCCACATCGGCCTGTTAGTATCGTTTTGCCTTCTGTGTGCCATTTGTTTTGTTTTGCTTGCTCCCTTTTATTCCTCCTGCTTAAAAAAAAAAAAAAAATTCTTTGTTCTTCTGTATTTGAGCCCTCAAAATCTAATCCTGGAAGTATTACCTTCTTGGGTGGTTTCCTCGCTTTCTCCTACCCCATTTTGGGGCATTTTCATTGTCCCAGAAGGAAACCCTCACCCATCTGCAGTTGCTTCTCCTTACTTCCCACCCTCGAGCCCTGGGAAGACTCTCATCTACTCTTCCCCTGTGCATTCGCCTTCTGTGGACTTATGGAATGTGCGGGCTTTCGGGCTTTTCTAACCAACTTCTTTCACTTAGCTTTAATGCTTTCAACATTCATCAACGTTGTAGCATCTTTTTTCTTGTCATGTAACAATCCATTGTAGGGATGTACCACATTTTATTCACCTCTTCATCAGTCAGCAGACATTTGAGTTGTTCTGTTTTTTGGCCCTTACAAGTAATGTTGCTGTGAACATTCTTGTACAGGTTTTATGTGAACATGTGTTTCCATTTCCCCTGGGTAGCCACTGAGGAGGGGAATTGCTGGGTCATGTTTAACATTTTGAGAAATAGCCTCGCTGTTTCCCAGAGGAGCTGCATCATTTTACACTCCCACCAGCAGTGTGAGAGGACTGCAGCCTTACACACCCTTGCCCACACTTGTTACTGTCAGTCTTCTTCATGACAGCCACCCCACCAGGGATGAACTGCAATCCCATGAGTCCATAATTTTAATGTTGTCACATTTAAGTCTACACTTCATTTTAAGTTGGCATTTGTGTATAGTGTAGGGAAGGAATCCAGGTTCAGTCTTTTGTACTGTTTAAAAACTTTTCTTTATCCACTGAATTGTCTTAGCACCTTTATCAATATTCAATGGCCTGTAAACATAAGGATTTATCTCTGTGCTGTCAGTTCTCTTCCATTGATCTGTGTATCTGTCCCAAGGCCTAACATGGTATTGATTACTGTAGCTTTGGGTAAGTTTTGAAATTGGGAGATGTGAATCTTTGAATTTAGTTCTTTCCCTAGATTGTTTTGGATATTCCAGGTTGCTTGCATTTCTTTGAGGTAATTACAAGCCACATAGAGTGAGTTGTGAAATATTCCGTCCTCCTCTCTGTTTTAGCAGAGTTTGTGAAGGGTTGATATTAATTCCTTTCATTTAAATACGTGGTAGAACTCATCAGTAAAGCCATCTGGGCTTTTCTTTCTGAGAAGTTTTTAAAGGATTAACTCAGTTTCTTTACTTGTGATAGGTCTGTTCACATTTTCTGTTTCTTCTTGGAGTCAGTTTCAGTAGTTCCGTCTTTTGTAGGAATTTAGCCATCTCATCGAAGTTATCTGATTGGTTGGCATACAGCTGTTCTTAGTGTCCCCTTGCAATCCTCTTTATTCTGTAAGGTCAGTAATGTCTCCTCTTTCCTTTCTGATGTTAGTCATTTGAGTCTTCTCAGTTTTTTTCCTTAATCAAATCTAGCTGAACATTTAACAGTTTTACTGGTCATCTCTTCAAAGAAACAGGGGCTTCCCAGGTGGCGCTAGTGGTAAAGAATCCGACTGCCAACACAGCAGACATAAGTGACCCGGGTTCGATCGCTGGGTCGGGAAGATCCCCTGGAGAAGGAAATGGCAATCCAGTCCAGTATTCTTGCCTGGAGAATCCCATGGACCGAGGAGCCTGGTGGGCTACAGTCCATGGGTTGCAAAGAGTCGGACACTAGTGAAGCAGTTTAGCATTCAAAGAAGTAACTTTTCAGCTTGTTGATTTATTCTCCTCTGTTGCTTTTCTGTTCTCTATTTTTTTAATTTTCCGCTCTAAACATGACTGTTTCCCTCCTGTTTGCTTTAAGTTTAGCTTGCTCATCTCTTTCTAGTGTTTCAGGTAGAAGATTAGACTATTTATTTGAGAATGTTTTTATGACAGGCGTTTACAGCTGTAAATATTCCTTTAAACATAGCTTTCATAACATTTCATAAATTTTTGTATGTTGTATTTTCCTTTTCATTCATCTCAAAGTATTTTCTAATTTTTCTGTGATTTTTCCATTGGTTATTTAGGAGTATGTTTGATTTCACATATTTACAACTTCTCAAGTGTCTATTACTAGTTTTGAATTTCATTGCCTGTTAATTGAAGAGAGCTTTCCATGATTTCAGGTTTTTTTCCTTTAATTTATTGAGGCTGGGTTTATGGCCGAGCATATAGTCTATCCTGGAGAACGTCTCGTGTTGTTGAGAAGAGAGTGTATTCTTGCTGTTGTTGGGTGGAGTGTTTTCTAGAGGTGTTGTCAGTTCCAGCTGGTTTATACATTGTCCTGTTTCCTCATAGATCTTTGTTTATCTTCATGTGCTCTACCTGTAAGGTTTGTACAGTTATCATCCCATTTTGCAGGTGAGGAAGCTTGCTTAGGATCAGAGTCAGGGCCAAGGTCTGAGCATAGGCTTGTCAGGCTTAGAGGCCATGAGAAATAATTGATACAGCTTTTGTGTCACTTTGTATATTAGAAAAAAGCACTCTTTCAAGCTTTACCGTCTTTCAAAATAATTTCCTGTTGTAAAACATTATTTTCAATGTTAAACTATTTGAGCCATCCAACTAGCATAGCCCACTCTTTGGTGAGCCTGGAATCACTTTTTATTGATTTTTATAAGGTGGAGCTGGTGGTAAAGAACCCATCTGGCAATACAGGAGATATAAGAGACGCGGGTTTGATTCCAGGGTCAGGAAGGTCCCCTGGAGGAGGGCGGGGCACCCCACTCCAGTATTCCTGCCTGGAGAATCCCATGGACGGAGGAGCCTGGCGGGCTGCAGTCCAGGGGGTTGCAAAGCCTGACACGACTGAAGCAACTTAGCATGCATGTGTTGTTAGAAATTATATTAAGTTTTTTATAGAGCAACTATTGATATTACCCTGACATTCTCATTTATGTAAATTACTGTTTATAAGTTGTTTTTTTTAAAGCAGACCTTAGGGATGTTTGTGCTAATTTCTGATTTTGTGCTGATTTTAGTGTGAGTCATCTTGATTTACAGGAGAGGACTAATTGCTGGGGACTGAATTCTAGTTTTAATTCTGCAGAACTTTTCAGAAATCTCTTTGATTTTTCTATACTTCACCAAAATGACATGGTAAAACCTCACTTAAACTTGCACTCAAGTGCAGTGTTTGTGAAAGCATTGTGAAGGCTTGCAGTGACCTGGGGAATGTCCTGGCTGAAGGGTGTTTCTGAGTTTGTGTTTTCAGAGCTGACGGCATCCTGTGATAATCTCTGAGAGGTTCGCACTCCTCACTCTGTGACCCTGGCAGGTTAATTGACCTCTCTGTATC